CTCCAATTAAGAGCTAATTAATCGAATCTCAATTTAATAAACTGAATCGATTATTTAATTAAACTCCCAAATGGGTCCGTAATTAAAATTAAATTGATTCAATTTCTTAATTTTACTTCCTTAAGCCATTTGAACCCTTAATTTCTAAATTCAAAATAAATCCCTGATAAAACCATATATGAAGCAATCTCCATAATTTTCGTGAATCCTATATTAAATTATAATAATCGGCAGTTAAATTTCAAATCATCTTAATTAATCAAGTACTAATCATTATACGTGGTGGGGTCGTTATAGTCATATTGAGTCGACGAGTTCTGACTTCGGCAATAGATGATGAAGCGAGCTTAGCCGACATGCTAAATGGAAAAAATGATATAGGTTCCATCAGGATGCCGAGGTAATAGAACTTAGGGGGCAGTTGTGGGAACATAATTTTTGAATGACAACACGTGGCCGAGGTGACACCGAAATGTCAACCGAGGTGTCACGTGTCCCGGTCATAATGCTGAGATGATCTCGGCTAGGCCGAGGTTATCTGCGAAAAAACCGGAATCCGGGATAAGCGGATAAATGACAAGAGTCCTAAAATGGGAGAAGACTTCAGTTTGGGTAAAGATAAGACTCTTGGAGAGTTTATCCGAATCCTATTGGGAGTCCAAGACTAGCAGTAATCCTAAGTCCATTGGGACTAGGATTATGTTGGCTATAAAAGAGAGGCACCCTCATGAGTCTAAGGTGTGTCTTTTATGCTTTGTCCAGTTCATGAGTCTAAGGTGTGTCTTTTATGCTTTGTCCAGTGAGTTTAGCACTATTGATTATCTTTGAGAGATACACTAACTTGATCGTTAACAGGTCAGACAGGTGTCATCTATTCTGCCAATGCTCTCCCGCTGAATACTAATTTGACAGTGTGGTCAAAAATTGATACCCACATAAATCATAATCATTTTTTTTTCCCTCTTTCAAAAATCAAAAAAGTAACCCCAAATGAACTTTTTAACCATAATTAATTAACTAAAAAAAAGTCACATATCAAACCACAGCTAAGAGTATATCTCACTCTTCTCCCAATTTGCAACAAGCGAGCGTGCTCTTCCTATGATAACGGTGGATTGAATGAGTAAAGCTTCACTAGATTCTTATAAGTATCACCTGTGATGCAAATTGGACATGCCTGGTTTTTGTCCTTCCGTGGAACACACCTCTTCAGGTGCATGATAATAGATAATTGGGTCTTGCATATGTTTTTAGGGGTTATTTAGAATGATTTAAATAAGTGTAGTTTTTGACATTTTATAAAATATGAGTTAAATTTGAAATAATGTAGTAAAGAAGTAATATGAAATAAGATGATGTGTCTTAAATAGGATAGTAATTTTTTGACTTTTTGACTTTTTTGTATTATGCCAAACTTAGCCTTATTATGAAAGGTTATTGGTGAGTTTATCAAATTCACAGTATGCTTGGTTAGAGTTTTCCAAAAATTCTTTTCAGAAAATTTACTTTCTTGTTTTTCGTATTTTTTTTGTATTTACTGAATTTTTTAAATATTTTCAGCAATTTTTTTTTACTTTTTAGACATACCTAACATAAATATACCTAAAAAGTAAAAAATTTGTGAAAAAAACTTTTTAAAAATTTACTAAATACCAAAAATACAAAAAAAAAACAAGAATTCCGTACATATTTTGTATTTTTATGTATTTATTAATTTTTTTAAAATATTTTTTCACAATTTTTTTACTTTTTAGATACATCTAAGTAAGATGCATCTAAAAAAGTAAAAAAAATGTTTAAAATTTTAAAAATATTCTCTAAAAACAAAAACCAAAAAACTCAATTTTCAAAAAATTTAATCCAAAAAACTCAAACCAAACACTATACAAATCAAATTGAATAATACTATGGCCCCGTTTGGTAGAGCTGTGGGAAAAGTGATTATAGATTATAGCTTACAGTTGTGAGCATAAGCTGGTAACCTGTTTAGTGTAGCTGTGTGATTATAGATTTAAGTAGCAGAATAGTGTTTCGTAAATAAGTTGTAAATAGCTTTTTCTGTACAATTGACTTTTTTGCCCTTATATGATATAAAAATGATAATTTTGTCAGTTTTTTTTCAATTTTAATTTAAAAAAATATTTCATTAATAAAAGTTAATATAATTAGTATTAATTAGTATCAACTAATATAAAAATTGATACACTTGATAAAAATGTAATAGAAATATTATTGTAATAATTTTTTTCCATTATAAATTAATTAGTATCAATTAATTGCTTAATCAGTATCAATTAATACTAAAATTATTAATTAGTATCAATTAGTGGCTTAATTAATCTGAATTAATACTAAATAATTAGTATCACATAAATCATTATTTTCATTAACAGTATCAATTGTTAATTTTGTTTAATTTATTAATTCATTACAATTAATATCAATTAATATAAATGTCATTTCATTTAATAGAAGTTATTTCATTTTTTTATTATTTTATTTTGTTTTCATTAATATAAATTAGAACAACTATTACAATTTTTTTATTATTTATTGATATTAATTGAAATATATTTATTTAAATTGTGCAATTTATTTTAATTGATTATTTTTGTTTTTAATTTTTGCTTTTAATTGGTAAAGAAATTACCAAATAAATTTATTTTTGTTTTTAATCATTATTTTAAGGGGAATTGACCACTAAATCCCATTTTGTGGTCTTGTAATTCATAAGGTCCTAAATGTTTTCTTCGTGACTGGATGGTCTCTTAATTTGTTTGTTGACTGTTTTGCCACTGTTAGTATTATTGGTTGATTGGTGTGGGTTTTGTATAGGGAAGGTGAATGAGTGTTTGTGTGTCACGTTGATTGGAAAAGCACGCTAATACCTTTTTTAATTTAATAGGTTTGTAACACTCACAAAAGTAAAATGTCGTTTCGTACGTGACGTGAACTCAAGAAATAAGGCACACTAAAATGGTTTTGGATTTTGGTTTCGGATTTCTTACGACCCGAATTCCGAAACCCACGTTACAGATGGAGTGAGTAGGTTTACGTTATAGTTCATTTCGTTTCTTGATCGCATTCGAACCGGTCACGATCGCTTCAGAAGAGGCCCTGTGACTCCTCACAAACAGAGTCGGTGGAGGAAAAGCAAGGTTCGGTTCCTAGAGTTTACCGTCCGGAACCGATTCAGAGATTGCCTCATCTTCCTCACAATCACCAAGTGAAAAACAGATCTATTGAACGGAAGGAGTTAGCAAAGATGATCCAGCGAATTCGTTCATGTCATCCCTGACGGGAGACACCGATAGCCTACGACGACAGTGAGTCACGTTTTCCTTTGCTACGACGACAGTGAGTCACGTTTCTGTGCAGTCCGACCAAACCACATTCTATACAGTCTGACCAAACCACATTCCCTTTGCTACGACGACAGTGAGTCACGTTTCTGTGCAGCAGACGAAGTTCACATTTCTGTGCAGCAGACGAAGTTCATGTTTCTGTGCAGCAAACAAAGTTCACCTTCACGTTTCTGTGCAGCAAACAAAGTTCACATTCCCTTTGCCTAGGACGACAGTGAGTCACGTTTCTGGACAGTCCAACCAAACCACAATCCGTTTGCTACGATGACAGTGAGTGACGTTTCTGTGCTGCAAACAAAGTTCCCATCCCCCACACCAAACAACTGAATCCAAAGTAATCCTAATCCCACTGTAAAACCTATGTAAACGGCTTCCCTCACCCCCCCAATAAAAATGGGATACGACATACCAAAAAAAAAAAAGAATAAAATCTCCACAAATCATAGCAGGGTATATTCGTCCAGCAACACTCCCAAACCATTCAAATTAGGACTACCCAGTAACAAATTATGCCGTAAATGGACTTGAAAAACAAAGAGAAAACCCGTGGGACCAAATGGATCACAAGATACTCAAATGGGACTTTCCAATAATTTACCAAATAAATTTATTTTTGTTTTTAATTATTATTTATTGATATTAATCGAAATAAATTTATTTAAATTGTGCAATTTATTTTAATTGATTATTTTTGTTTTTAATTGGTAAAGAAATTACCAAATAAATTTATTTTTGTTTTTACTTATTATTTTTATTATTTTGTTTTTAATTATTATTTATTGATATTAATCGAAATAAATTTATTTAAATTGTGCAATTTATTTTAATTGATTATTTTCGTTTTTAATTTTTGTTTTTAATTGGTAAAGAAATTACCAAATAAATTTATTTTTGTTTTTAATTATTATTTATTGATATTAATCGAAATAAATTTATTTAAATTGTGCAATTTATTTTAATTGATTATTTTTGTTTTTAATTGGTAAAGAAATTACCAAATAAATTTATTTTTGTTTTTAATTATTATTTTTAAAATTTTTTTTTCTTCTCTTCCTTCCTCATGAACCTTCCGTATGCCGGAAATCTGCAACCTAGCCACCACCGCGATCTGGAACGGCCGAGAGGGAGTGCCGCCGCTCGTCACCGTTCACCCGCCTGAACAGCGCCGGAGATGGTTTATTGGTTCGTGAGAGAGAGAGAGAGAAAGAGAGAGACGACGGCAGATCGCGATACCTAGGGTTTTGAGATCGCGATGACGGCGACTTTGGATCAACCCAGATCTTCATCTACGAGCAACCCGGATCTTCATCTTCATCGAGATCGAGAGAAAGAGAGAGAGCATAACGTCGGAAATTACCTTGACACGCCGGAAATCGCCTCCACACTACTGGAAATCGCCTTCATCGAGAGAGAGAGTGAACAGTGTTTTCAGACGGGTATATATAATGGCATTTTCGTAAATAATGGAGATTAGGAGGGGTATTTAAGTCATTTTAGCACCCACTACACAGCTGCGCGCTTAAGTTATGAACTTAAGCATCTCCAGACCCACTTTCCAAATAAGTTGAAAATTAGCTTTATTTAAGCTATAAGTTGGTGAAATAATTTTTACCAAATACTCCAAAATAAGTTATTTTAAGCTATAAGTGGCTTTAAGCTACAAATAAATTTACCAAATGGGGTTTATACCAATTAATATACTAACAGATGGTGTGACATAATTTAAAAGTTTTGAATATTTATAATTTGTATAATAGAGTAGGTCAATAATAATATGTTGGTACACTAGTTAGTATACTAATTGCACCACTAAATCAAATTACTTGAGCACACCTTATGTTCAACAAACTCTTTTGAGATCATCGGCTGGAAAAGTAAATAAATCAAATTTGAACATATTTGAAAATTCATAACAGTTAAATTTTTGTATATATATGTATATTAAATGATTTTTTTTAAAAATTTGGATCAAAAGCTTTTTTTTTCAGGTTCATTCAGTCTAAAAGAATTTATAAGTAATTGTTATTTTGAAAATATCAAAGAAAGTTCACTACAAGAATAAATAAATAAAATTTTAAAGTGTTTTTTTTTTTTGTCTTTATAGTCTTTTTTCAAAATTTTAAACTTTTTATTTACTTTTTAAATGATTCTAATATAACCTCAAAATAAAAAATTTAAATTTTTTTAGAAAAAATAATTAACTAAAGACACAGAAAAATTTTAAAAAAAAATCTGCTAAAATACAATTACCAAACCCACTCTTTAATAATAGTTTAACCTCCAGTCTCTTGGATTAACCATCAATCCATGGATTGTTTATTTTTAAAAAAACATAAACTACAAACGCGTTTAGTAATTAACAAAATGTTTAAAAAATTTTAAAAATATAAAAAAGAGTGAGAAATGGCAAGTGGTGGCAAGTGGCGGCGGACGACGGTGGTGGAAAGTGGTGACAATGGGTGGTGGGTAGCTGGTGGTAGTGGGTGGGGGCGGGGGGGGGGGGGTAGGTGGCGGGTGGGGGTGCTCGACCGTGAAGAGTTGCTGGGAGCAGGGCTTGTGGGGCCCAGTGGTGGTGACCTCCACGTAGTTGCAGTACCAGCCGTGGTGTGGGCCGGACCCGTCTGAAGTCAGGTTCATTGAGCAGACCGGCCCATTCAGACATGGGCCTTTCCCGCTGAAGATGTCCAAGTTCCCTCTCTCGAAGTAGTCGTGGTTCGGACCCATTAACCCGCCCCAGGCTTCCAGGTTCGAGATCCGGATCCCCCACCCGTCTTCGTCGTACAGGGTCAGGCTGATGATGGAGTCTGTTCCTCCCTTGATGATCGACCCGGTTCTAATGTACGCAGTGTACACACAATCATCCTCCTGCATTCATGTATGTATGTATATCTATATATGCATTAGAAATACTCATTGAAATGCCAAACCAAAAGGAAAAAGGGACGATTTGGGTTTGGGAGAAGAGTGGAACTTACGGATCGGGCGATGGTGGTGAGGGAGAGAGCGATGAAGAGCTGGAACCAGAAACAGTTGACTCCTCCTCCCATGGATTTTAGCTCTCTCTCTCTCTACTTTTAACGTAAATAGAATCACCCTAACAATACTCTTTTATTATGGATGACAACCTCACATTTACATTGAGTGAATAAATTATTTTATTTTTTAATTTCAATCTAATTTTTAAAGAGATCTAATTAATCTTGGGTAAAAAAAAAAAAAAACTCAAAACTCAAAACGGAAACACATTTTTTGTGTTTTCATTTTTTTACCAAATTTATAAACTGAGACCACTGATTTGTAAATCAAAAATTTTACCAAAGAAGTTTTTATTTGAGTTTTTTAAATTTTTGTAAATATAAACAGAAAACTGAAAACGTAAGTGTTAGCAAACGGCATATAAACAAACAAGATTTAGTTTATTTGATAGTACTTATAAGCTAATTTATTTAGATTATTCGATTTTAAAAATTGACTAATGATGTTTAGTGGTAATTTTATATTATAAACTTAACTTACTTGACTAAAAAACAATAGATTTTCTTAAATTACAATTTGAATTTTTTTAAAACTTAATTGAAATCTTTAAACATGTATGGACAAAAAAATCTCAATTCTTTTGTCTTAATTATAACTTTTGAGAAAATCTTAAATATTTAACAGCAAGTTATGCGACAACTTATTTATTTAAACAAGTTCTATATATATATATTATAATTTATGAAATTTTACACCAGACAGATGTATAACTTATTTCAACTCTTTTGAATTAATAATTTAAAATTATAACTTATAAGTGATATTAAAAGGGCTATTGTAGAAGAGCAGTTATAGAAAAAGAGAGAGTGAGCAGACTCTTTCTCTCTTAAGAGATTTTCGGCAATGCTCCAGTGGTTTTCCGATGACATTCTGGTGACTCGTTTTAAACTTCTAAAATGTAGATCTGTACTCTTAGAGTAGAGATCTACAGTTTTAAAGGGTAAATCTAAACTTTTTACATCTGAAATCAGAGTTTTGAGAGTTTTCTCCTCCACTTTTGGCATAGATTTTTGATTTTTCTACACGCACAATGGTTCATTCCTCTCTCAACTCTTTTCCATACCATTGTGGGTGTCCTTCATTCTTTGGTGGAAGCAGTGGTGGAGTTGGGCAACAACGACAAGAACGACGTCAGTGGAAACGCCGCGCTTTCAAGCAGATCTTGCTTTCCAGACCACATCTTTGAGCAGATCGGTTGTTTTCCCTGGATCGTAACTGTTTTTTAACGAATTTATTTTTTTGTTGTTTGTTTGGTTGGAATGGCCTAATTATGTACTGTTATTGTCTTTTATTAATATAATGTTTCCTATGTTTTAAAAAAAAAAAAAAAAAAAGAGAAAAAGAGGCTGTTGTAAGTTCAACTAATTTATTCACCCTTTACATTTTCTTTCAGATAAATTCTCCATCATCTTCATTTCTCTTGAAACGATGGTGTTTTAGCCTTGTGCATTCCAATGAGTAGCCATTGTATTGTGTGCACTTGAATGGTCCATCTATGCACAATCAACCATTCAACTGTTGCAAAAATTTATATTATAATATAGTTGAAGGATTGATTGTGCACAGATAGACTGTTAAAATGCACACAACACCATCATTATGTGGCTACTCATTGGAACACACAAGACTTGGCCAAAAATGCTATTGTTTCAAGAACAACAGTTACTGCTACGCTAGAGTGACCCCGTCTCCCCCAATTTCCACCCATACTCCCTCAATAATGTCCCAAATATTAGAGATGTAATTAGAGGTGATAAAATAGAGAGATTAGGCATTTTTCATATCAAAATAAGAGTTTTAAATATTGATTATTATGTACTATAATTTTTTATTTTCGATACTGTTATTTGACCATATACCAAATAAAATTATTTAATATTAATTGTATTACGATATTGATACATAGTTTAATATTGTTATTTAAAATCATAATAAAAATCCTATTCACTCAATTTGGTTTCCATTTTCAGAATTCACTTTTAAAAAAAGTTTACTTTTTTTTGTTTTTCATATATATTTTTTTTCACTAATTTTTTTTAATTTTTAAGTATTTTTTTTTTCATTTTTAGACACACCTAACATAATTACACTTAAAAAGTATAATATTTGTAAAAAATTATTTAAAAAATTCATTAAATTCCAAAAATACAAAAATACAAAAAAATGAAAATTTAATAAATTTTTCATATTTTGGTGTATTTATTAATTTTTTTACAAATATTTTACTATTTAGATATATTTAAATAAGGTACATCTAAAAAAGTAAAAAAATTACTTAAAATTTTAAAAATATTCACTAAAAAATTAGACACACCTAACACAATTACACTTAAAAAGTATAATATTTGTGAAAAATTATTTAAAAAATTCATTAAATGCCAAAAATACAAAAATACAAAAAAATGAAAATTTAATAAATTTTTCATATTTTGGTGTATTTATTAATTTTTTTACAAATATTTTACTATTTAGATATATTTAAATAAGGTACATCTAAAAAAGTAAAAAAATTACTTAAAATTTTAAAAATATTCACTAAAAAAAAAAATGAAAAACGAAAAAAAAACTCAATTTCTAAAAAATTGAATTCAGAAAATTAAAACCAAACACACTGATTAGTTTTGGAGTTTTTGAAAACAAATTTTGAGTTTTTAATATGCATATTTTTAGTTTTTTTTGTGAATTTTTTAAATATTTTAATCAATTTAAATTTTTTTATCTTTAGATCTAATTAATCTAAATACACTTAAAATATATATACTTTGTTATTTTTAAAAAAATTCATTAATTATTATTTTTTTATTATAGATTTTTCACAAATATTTACTTTTCGGGAACATTCAGGGGTTGTTTGGGATGATCTAAATAAGTATACTTTTTAACTTATTATGAAAAGTTATGCAATGTGGTAGAGAAGTGATGCAACCAAAATAAGAAGTGACGTGACCTAAATAAAATAAAAAGATGATCTAAAGTAAATCACTCCAAACAATCCCTTTTTTATCTAAAAAATAAAATAAAATAAATTATTAATATATGAAAAAAATTTATTAAAAAAAAAAAAACACAAAAAATAATAAATTCCAGATCAAATAAATTTAACTTATAATGAAGCCCTTAGTTGTAAACTAAAAAAATTGAAAACTCAAAATTGATTAAATTTAACTAACAATAAAGCCAATAACTTGAGTAATTTTTAGATTCAAATAAGGTATATGTCATGTAATATATTTTATTATTGTGATTAATTGTAATTGTATAATCCAATATATTTATGTTAAGTATTTGAAAAATAATAGATGATATACACATTTACGAGTAGTGAAACGTCATGTCACCGGATACTATACAAAAATTTATCTCTTAATTGTAACTTCAATATTTATTTTATTTTATTTTTTTTGAATTTTTTCTGGGAAGAAATGGAAGAGTCATGAAAAAAAAATAAAAATAAAAAACCTAGAAGAGGGCCGAAACATCTAAACCGCAAAAGCTAAACCGAAGGAACCAAAACCCTAACCCCCTCTCCACTCCCCACCGATCTACTACGCCGCTGTTTTCTCTCCTCTCCCAAGCTCGCGCTTCATTTCTACTCTCTCTCTCTCTAAACTGCTCAACTTCCAATGGCAGCTATGCTGGTAAGCTCTCTCTCTCGCTCTCTCTGTTTACTCCGATTGGTTGCTGAGAAAATTGAACAGGCCAGTTGCTGAGAAAATCTAATACCTAAGTTTCAACTGTTATTTTCTCGGCACCCAAACCGAGGATAATGTGCAATAAAGATAACTTACTTTGTTGATTTTGATGATTCTTTTCATTTTTTTTTTCTGGATGTGGTGGTGATGATGGAAACAACAGCAACCCCAGATCATCTTGCTGAAGGAAGGCACGGACACGTCCCAAGGGAAGGCACAGCTGGTTAGCAACATAAATGCTTGTGCTGCTGTCGCCGATGTGGTTCGCACTACGCTCGGTCCCAGGGGTATGGACAAGTTGATCCATGACGACAAAGGCAATAGTACTATTTCCAATGATGGTGCCACCATCATGAAGCTTCTTGATATTGTTCACCCGGCGGCTAAGATCCTTGTTGACATTACCAAGTCACAGGACTCTGAGGTATTCTTGCTGCCCACTGCTATTAATTTTGTTGCTGTTGTGGATAATTTATCAAGTCTACTGAATTGGTTTTAGGCAATGGTTCCATTATACTAAAGGGATGATTTTTATTTCCATTTGGGATTCGTATTCAAACTATGGCCATATGAATTTTGTATAGGTTCGTAGTGCAGGGTGGTTGTTTTGTGGCGTTGGCCTCATTTTTATTGTTAATCCAAATTATACTTTAACTAAACACTTGGGTTCTTGAGAAGTTGAAATGTAAAGGAGAAAATTAGTTTGTGGTTTGGTCTTTATTGTACTATCTCATTTAAAAATTGTGTTTGTATTTTTTTTTTTGTTGATTGATTGATAAAAAATTGTGTTTGTCTTTAAGAATACATAGTTTTTAAATTTAGTCTGTTAGAGTAACCCTAAATTTTGGGGTGAGGGGGCAATTATTTGCTGCTGTGTGGCCAAAAATACCTCATGCAAACACGCAAAATTAGTGATCCTCCTGGTGCGCTAAGAATTAGTTACCTTCGAATGTCTTAGGTGGGTTTGGCTGTAGAAAACAGCTCCACTTACTTGTATATGACACTTCTATGGTTGTAAGCTTTTCACTTCTGCAAATATTCTGGTTGTGGCGTAGGTTGGTGATGGAACCACCACGGTAGTTCTGCTGGCAGGGGAGTTATTGAAGGAGACCAAGCCTTTTATTGAGGATGGGGTCCACCCTCAAAATCTGATCCGGAGTTACCGCACTGCAAGCAATTTGGTATACGTTTTGATATATTTTTTTTTGTCCCAGTTTGTTTTTGTATCATTTTTTTGTTGATGCATTCAAGAGCTTTGTTCTTATGTGTACTTCATATTGCATGCTACACAATAGGCAATTGAGAAGATCAAAGAACTTGCTGTTAGCATAGAAGGAAAAAGTCTGGAAGA